GAGCAGCAGCGCCGGCGCGGGAGAGCCGCCCGCCCACCCCGACGCACCGCAGGTCGGTAAGCCCGCGCGGTCCTTCTCTCGGCGCCTTTCCTAACCTCGGGCTGGCGGTGCTGGGCTGTTGCGCCTCCTGTGTCTGCTTTGGCGGCTAGTGCCGACCTGTGTTCCCAGGGACGGATGAATTAATCCGTTAACGTTTCTTTTTCGGCAGCAGGCAGTGCGAAACGGCACGTGCTGCCTGATCAGCTCTTACTCGCTCAGCGGAGAGGCTCTCGCCTTTCAGCTTGTGGTGGAAGAAATGGCGCAAGTGTGGTGAACCTCTTCGGTGTAATGAGCTCTGCTGATGCTGCACGTCGACAACGCAAAAAACGTTGTTTGCAAAACCTGTCCTGTCCAAAATTGTCTCTTTAGTAAGGGTGACCGCGTGTCTTCGCTGTGCAGAATGGGATCCCTGGAGCTTTCTGGAACTTCGTCCTCTTTCTCCTCAGTTTCCCCAGTGAGTGGTGTGGGTGGGAAGTGCTGGTCCGTGTGCCCGTGAAGGAATGAAAGAAGTAACGGCGTAAGCCCCTTCCACTCAGAGCAAGCAGTAGGCGCTTCTTGGTTCATCGGCGGTCACAGGTTAGGGTAGAACTGGGAAGTTTTGACTCGAAACTTGTCTGAAATGTTAGTAGCAGTGCAGGCGGATCCTTCCTGTGTACAAAGAGATCTGCTAATTCTACAGGACGCGGTCGGTGAAACATGGTTGACGCTTGCTGTTGTTTCGTTCCTGATTTCATTTTCCCAAAGCGTTGGTCTTTGGCAGCTGAACGAAAACCCGTTGCTTAATGCTTTTTAGTGTTCGACTTCCAAAGCAAATGTGCATGAGGCTCCATGAACGGAGAAGTTAGGGATCGTTCCTCCGCCGTGTGCCCTCCCATCTTTTTGGGGAAGGCTGCTGCAAAATGGCAACTATTTCTCATTTCTTCTTCCATTCTGGGTGGTATTTTTACTGTTCCAGGAATGTCTTTTCCACAGAAGTAAAGACGTTGAATGAGATCTCAAAAAGAATACCCAACCCCAAAATCAAATCGCGTTTTGTGTTTCAGAGCCCGGCTTCCCCTGTTTCTATAGCGTTTAACTGTAAGGGTTTGCTTTATGCGTGAGTTTCTTTTCTGTAATGGACCCGCCAACAGAGAGTGCGTGTGCTTCTCTGCCTGGTGCTGAGTTACTCAAGAATGTAGTCACAGTATCCTGCCTTTATGCTACGCATGTTCCATGAAAAAGGGGGGGGGGGGGTTG